GTGTGTGTTGTGATGGGTGGGACACGTGTGTGTGTGTTGTGATGGGTGGGGACACGTGTGTGTGTGTTGTGATGGGTGGGACACGTGTGTGTGTGTTGTGATGGGTGGGACACGTGTGTGTGTTGTGATGGGGGGGGCGTGTGTGTGTGTGTTGTGATGGGTGGGACACGTGTGTGTGTTGTGATGGGTGGGACGCGTGAGTGTGTTGTGATGGGTGGGACACGTGTGTGTGTTGTGATGGGTGGGACGTGTGTGTGTGTTGTGATGGGTGGGACACGTGTGTGTGTGTTGTGTGTGTCGGGGTTGTGATAGGTGGCACACGTGTGTGTGTGTCGGGGTTGTCATGGGTGGGACACGTGTGTGTTGTGATGGGTGGGACACGTGTGTGTGTGTGTGTATGTAAGGGTTGGCCTGGATGGGACACGTATGTGTGTGTAAGGGTTGTGATGGGTGGGACACGTGTGTCTGTGTGTGTTGTGATGAATGGGACATGCGTGTGTGTGTGTAGGGAGAAAGACAGGTCACCCAAGATGGGCATTGGAGTGGCACACAGAGGTCACGGTGGTGGTGGTGATCGTGGTGATGGTGGTGGTGGTGATCGTGGTGGTGGTGATCGTGGTGATGGTGGTTGTGGTGATCGTGGTGATGGTGGTGATGGTGGTTGTGGTGATCGTGGTGGTGGTGGTGGTGGCGATGGTGGTGGCGATGGTGAGGATGAGGCTGTAAGCGTAGGCCCTCGGAGGTCGGCTGTCGATTGTCCCGTGAAGATTCCGGCAGAAGGAAGGAAGCGACGGCAAGCTGGTAGTGTTGAGTCTATGGTGCAGTGTTGAGTCTATGGTGCAGTGTTGAGTCTATGGTGCAGCGTTGAGTCTATGGTGCAGTGTTGAGTCTATGGTGCAGTGTTGAGTCTATGGTGCAGTGTTGAGTCTATGGTGCAGTGTTGAGTCTATGGTGCAGTGTTGAGTCTATGGTGCAGTGTTGTGCAGTGTTAGTCTATGGTGCAGTGTTGAGTCTATGGTGCAGTGTTGAGTCTATGGTGCAGTGTTGAGTCTATGGTGCAGTGTTGAGTCTATGGTGCAGTGTTGAGTCTATGGTGCAGTGTTGAGTCTATGGTGCAGTGTTGAGTCTATGGTGCAGTGTTGAGTCTATGGTGCAGTGTTGAGTCTATGGTGCAGTGTTGAGTCTATGGTGCAGTGTTGAGTCTATGGTGCAGTGTTGAGTCTATGGGCAGTGTTGAGTCTATGGTGCAGTGTTGAGTCTATGGTGCAGTGTTGAGTCTATGGTGCAGTGTTGAGTCTATGGTGCAGTGTTGAGTCTATGGTGCAGTGTTGAGTCTATGGTGCAGTGTTGAGTCTATGGTGCAGTGTTGAGTCTATGGTGCAGTGTTGAGTCTATGGTGCAGTGTTGAGTCTATGGTGCAGTGTTGAGTCTATGGGCAGTGTTGAGTCTATGGTGCAGTGTTGAGTCTATGGGCAGTGTTGAGTCTATGGTGCAGTGTTGAGTCTATGGGCAGTGTTGAGTCTATGGTGCAGTGTTGAGTCTATGGGCAGTGTTGAGTCTATGGGTAGTGTTGAGTCTATGGGCAGTGTTGAGTCTATGGGTAGTGTTGAGTCTATGGTGCAGTGTTGAGTCTATGGGCAGTGTTGAGTCTATGGTGCAGTGCTGAGTCTATGGTGCAGTGTTGAGTCTGGTGCAGTGTTGAGTTTATGGGCAGTTTTGAGTCTATGGGTAACAGCATACCAGGCGAGGAAGTTAACATCTCCTAGCCACCCTGATGATGATGATGATGAGAGACACAGACTCCATATATACAGCAGCAGCAGCAGGCGTCGCCAGGGCCGGGATCGAACCCACGACCTCCTGTAGACCAGGCGAGGAAGTTAACATCTCCATATCCACCACGGCCCCCAATTGATCCCCGCAGGCTGGACAAGGAAACCAATGGGTCTCCCCATTACAGACGGTGAATGAGAAAGTTGCCGGTAGCGTCACTACTGACGATGCGCTCCCCAAATTTCACCAGGCTCACTGTTCATGAACTCTTGGAAGTGCTTGCACAAAGGATAGTAACATCTCATCCTGTGTTCTTTGGAATCTGGCATCACCCGGAGTGTGGAGAATTGTGGATGTTGGCAAAAGCTTGGCAGCTTATAGCGGGGGAGAGCCTCGTTGTACTATTTTAGTTCACACAAAAGGAAAAACGCCCCAAAGACGTACGGCACAGGAACAGGAAAGGGAGAATTTTCACCACGTTGCCATGACGACGACTCCACCACGTGACCCCATCGAGGCCCAATCACAGGGCTTGCACTGCTCGCGAGCTCACCTGCTGAGTGTGGATGTGGGTAGGTGGTTGGGTGAGTAGTGTGGGTGGGTGGGTGGGTGAGTGGGTGGGTTGGTGGGGGGGTGAGTGGGTGGTTGGGGGGGGGGCGGTGGGTGGGAGGTGGGGGGTGGGGGGGAGGTGGGATGGTGAGTGGGTGGGTGCGTGGCGGGGTGAGTGGCGGGGGGAGTGGGTGGGTGACTGGTTGGGTGAGTGGGTGAGTGGTTTGGTGAGTGGGTTGGTGAGTGGGTGGGTGGGTTGGTGAGTGGGTGAGTAGGTGGGTTTGTAGGTGGCTGGTTAAGTGAATGCAAGAGTGAGTGAGTGTGCAGGTGGGTGAGTGAGTGAATGAGCAAGTGAATGGGTTAGTGGATGGGTGAATGAGTGAATTCCTAGGTGGTTGGGTGAGTGGGTGGGTATGTGAGTGAGAGAGCATTGCTAAATCGGCTTCTAAGAGTTGCTCTCTAGCTCACCTGGTGAGTGTGGTTGAGTGGGTGAGTGAGTGACTGGGTCGGTGAGTAGGTGGGTGGGTGAGTGAGTGACTGGGTCGGTGAGTAGGTGGGTGGGTGAGTGAGTGACTGGGTCAGTGAGTAGGTGGGTGGGTGAGTGAGTGACTGGGTCGGTGAGTAGGTGGGTGGGTGAGTGAGTGACTGGGTCGGTGAGTAGGTGGATGGGTGAGTGAGTGACTGGGTCGGTGAGTAGGTGGGTGGGTGAGTGAGTGACTGGGTCGGGTGAGTAGGTGGGTGGGTGAGTGAGTGACTGGGTCGGTGAGTAGGTGGGGGGTGAGTGGGTGACTGGGTCGGTGAGTAGGTGGGTGGTGAGTGAGTGACTGGGTCGGTGAGTAGGTGGGTGGGTGAGTGAGTGACTGGGTCGGTGAGTAGGTGGGTGGGTGAGTGAGTGACTGGGTCGGTGAGTAGGTGGGTGGGTGAGTGAGTGACTGGGTCGGTGAGTAGGTGGGTGGGTGAGTGAGTGACTGGGTCGGTGAGTAGGTGGGTGGGTGAGTGTAGTGACTGGGTCAGTGAGTAGGTGGGTGGGTGAGGTGAGTGACTGGGTCGGTGAGTAGGTGGGTGGGTGAGTGAGTGACTGGGGTCGGTGAGTAGGTGGATGGGTGAGTGAGTGACTGGGTCGGTGAGTAAGTTGGGTGGGTGAGTGAGTGACTGGGTCGGTGAGTAGGTGGGTGGGTGATGAGTGACTGGGTCGGTGAGTAGGTGGGTGGGGTGAGTGAGTGACTGGGTCGGTGAGTAGGTGGGTGGGTGAGTGAGTGACTGGGTCGGTGAGTAGGTGGTGGGTGAGTGAGTGACTGGGTCGGTGAGTAGGTGGGTGGGTGAGTGAGTGACTGGGTCGGTGAGTAGGTGGGTGGGTGAGTGACGTGACTGGGTCGGTGAGTAGGTGGGTGGGTGAGTGAGTGACTGGGTCGGTGAGTAGGTGGGTGGGTGAGTGAGTGACTGGGTCGGTGAGTAGGTGGGTGGGTGAGTGAGTGACTGGGTCGGTGAGTAGGTGGATGGGTGAGTGAGTGACTGGGTCGGTGAGTAGGTGGGTGGGTGAGTGAGTGACTGGGTCGGTGAGTAGGTGGGTGGGTGAGTGAGTGACTGGTCGGTGAGTAGTGTGGGTGGGTGAGTGAGTGGACTGGGTCGGTGAGTAGGTGGGTGGGTGAGTGAGTGACTGGGTCGGTGAGTAGGTGGTGGGTGGAGTGAGTGACTGGGTCGGTGAGTAGGTGGGTGGGTGAGTGAGTTGACTGGGTCGGTGAGTAGGTGGGTGGGTGAGTGAGTGACTGGGTCGGTGAGTAGGTGGATGGGTGAGTGAGTGACTGGTCGGTGAGTAGGTGGGTGGGTGAGTGAGTGACTGGGTCGGTGAGTAGGTGGGTGGGTGAGTGAGTGACTGGGTCGGTGAGTAGGTGGGTGGGTGAGTGAGTGACTGGGTCGGTGAGTAGGTGGGTGGGTGAGTGAGTGACTGGGTCGGTGAGTAGGTGGGTGGGTGAGTGAGTGACTGGGTCGGTGAGTAGGTGGGTGGGTGAGTGAGTGACTGGGTCGTGAGTAGGTGGGTGGGTGAGTGAGTGACTGGGTCGGTGAGTAGGTGGATGGGTGAGTGAGTGACTGGGTCGGTGAGTAGGTGGGTGGGTGAGTGAGTGACTGGGTCGGTTGAGTAGGTGGTGGGTGAGTGAGTGACTGGGTCGGTGAGTAGGTGGGTGGGTGAGTGAGTGACTGGGTCGGTGAGTAGGTGGGTGCGTGAGTGAGTGACTGGGTCGGTGAGTAGGTGGGTGGGTGAGTGAGTGACTGGGTCGGTGAGTAGGTGGGTGGGTGAGTGAGTGACTGGGTCGGTGAGTAGGTGGGTGAGTGAGTGAGTGAGTGGGCGAGCATGAGAGCCGCTTTCCAACTCACCGGGTGAGCCTTGGCTGGGTGGCAGCGTCCTGCCTGCCCACCACCACCACCACCGCTGTGGTTGCAAGCAACATTGTTGCAGGAAAGTCGCCCCAACGTCCACCCACCACGGTTCACTTCAACTCTAATACAACTGTTGCTGCTACCGCTGCCACCTCCTCCACCCCCTCGGCTTGATACAACGACCCCAGAACCTTGAGCTGCTGTGAATGTCTTCCAGAAGTTAGTTACCAAAAAGAACACATGGGGTGGGGGGAGGGGTGGGTGGGGGTCTGGGGGGGGGGGGCTTGGTGAGGCCGGGGGGGGGGCAAGGGGAGAGGGGGGGGGCCTCCCCCGGCCACTTGTCTCCCCACGTGTGGACATTAGATGTGAGTGGGTGGGTGAGTGAGTGGGAGGGCAAGTGAATGAGTGGATGTGTTGGTGGGTGAGTGGATGTGTAGGTAGGTGGGGGAGTAGTGTAGGTGGGTGGGTAAGTGAATGAGTGAGTGGGTGTGCAGGTGGGTGAGGTGAGTGGATGGATGAGTAAGTGTGTGTAGGTGGGTGGGCAAGTGAGTGGATGGGTAGGTAGGTGGGTGGGAGGGTGAGTGAGTAGATGGGTAGGTGGGTGGATGTGTGGGGTATGTGGATGGGTAGGTAGGTAGGTGGGAGGGTGAGTGAGTGGATGGGTAGGTGGGTGGGTGGGAGGATGAGTGAGTGGATGGGTAGGTAGGTAGGTGGGAGGATGAGTGAGTGGATGGGTAGGTAGGTAGGTGGGAGGATGAGTGAGTGGATGGGTAGGTAGGTGGGTGGGAGGATGAGTGAGTAGATGGGTAGGTGGGTGGATGTGTGGGGTATGTGGATGGGTAGGTAGGTGGGTGGGAGGATGAGTGAATAGATGGGTAGGTGAGTGGATGTGTGGGGTATGTGGATGGGTCAGGGGTAAGGGCTCCATTGTCTGACCACCCCACCCACTCACCAACCCCACCTCACCCACCCACCCACCCTACCCCATCTTGATCCCACCTACAAACCCCCTTTGTGTAGAGCTTGTTACCCCGTGGCGAATGTTTCCCGCAGGCAGTTTAGCCTCCCCGGGTGGGGGGGGGGGGGGAGATCTTTTTCTCGTTCACTGCTTATGACGACGACGACGATGATGCTAACGATGATGCTGCTACTGCTAATGATGATACTGCCATGACCACTCACTCCACAATAGAGGGTTTGTGTGCTTTTTTGGGGTTAAATAAGGGACTCCTCTAGTTACGAACGAAGTCCAAACACGTTTTACGGCTTGTGCACTGAACACGAGGGAATGGCTTTAAAAGTTGTATAATCTCCTGTAGATGTTGAAGCCACTGGTTCTTCATGTTATTCCGATGTAGATGCCACTGGTTCTTCATGCTATGTATATGCCATGGTTCTTCACGTTCTGCAGGTGTAGATGCCACTGGTTCTTAACGTTCTGCAGATGTAGATGCCACTGGTTCTTCACGTTCTGCAGATGTAAATGCCACTGGTTCTTCACGTTCTGCAGATGTAGATGCCACTGGCTCTTCACGTTCTGTAGATGTAGATGCAACTGGTTCTTCATGTTCTGCAGATGTAGATGCCACTGATTCTTCACGTTCTGCAGATGTAGATGCCACTGGCTCTTCACGTTCTGTAGATGTAGATATCACTGGTTCTTCACGTTCTGCAGATGTAGATGCCACTGGTTCTTCACGTTCTGCAGATGTGGATGCCACTGGTTCTTCACGTTCTGCAGATGTAGATGCCACTGGTTCTTCACGTTCTGCAGATGTAGATGCCACTGATTCTTCACGTTCTGCAGATGTAGATGCCACTGATTCTTCACGTTCTGCAGATGTAGATGCCACTGATTCTTCACGTTCTGCAGATGTAGATGCCACTGGCTCTTCACGTTCTGCGATGTAGATGCCACTGGTTCTTCACGTTCTGTAGATGTAGATGCCACTGGTTCTTCACGTTTTGCAGATGAAGATGCAACTGGTTCTTCATGTTCTGCAGATGTAGATGCCACTTGTTCTTCACGTTCTGCAGATGTAGATGCCACTGGTTCTTCACGTTCTGCAGATGTAGATGCCACTAGTTTTTCACGTTCTGCAGATGTAGATGCCACTGATTCTTCACGTTCTGCAGATGTAGATGCCACTGATTCTTCACGCTCTGCAGATGTAGATGCCACTGATTCTTCACGTTCTGCAGATGTAGATGCCACTGGCTCTTCACGTGCTGTAGATGTAGATATCACTGGTTCTTCACGTTCTGCAGATGTAGATGCCACTGTTTCTTCACGTTCTGCAGATGTGGATGCCACTGGTTCTTCACGTTCTGCAGATGTAGATGCCACTGGTTCTTCACGTTCTGCAGATGTAGATGCCACTGATTCTTCACGTTCTGCAGATGTAGATGCCACTGATTCTTCACGTTCTGCAGATGTAGATGCCACTGATTCTTCACGTTCTGCAGATGTAGATGCCACTGATTCTTCACGCTCTGCGATGTAGATGCCACTGGTTCTTCATGTTCTGCAGATGTAGATGCCACTGGTTCTTCATATTCTACAGATGTAGATGCCACTGGTTCTTCACGTTCTGCAGATGTAGATGCCACTAGTTCTTCATGTTCTGCAGATGTAGATGCCACTGGTACTTCACGTTCTGTAGATGCCACTGGTTCTTCACGTTCTGCAGATGTAGATGCCACTGGCTCTTCATGTTCTGCAGGGGTAGATGCCACTGGTTCTTCACGTTCTGCAGATGTAGATGCCACTGGTTCTTCACGTTCTGTAGATGTAGATATCACTGGTTCTTCACGTTCTGCAGATGTAGATGCCACTGATTCTTCACGTTCTGCAGATGTAGATGCCACTGGCTCTTCACGTTCTGTAGATGTTGATATCACTGGTTCTTCACGTTCTGCAGATGTAGATGCTACTGGTTCTTCATGTTCTGCAGATGTAGATGCCACTGATTCTTCACGTTCTGCAGATGTAGATGCCACTGATTCTTCACGTTCTGCAGATGTAGATGCCACTGGCTCTTCACGTTCTGTAGATGTTGATATCACTGGTTCTTCACGTTCTGCAGATGTAGATGCTACTGGTTCTTCATGTTCTGCAGATGTAGATGCCACTGGTTATTCATGTTCTGCAGATGTAGATGTCACTGGTTCTTCACGTTCTGTAGATGTAGATGCCACTGGCTCTTCACGTTCTGCAGATGTAGATGCCACTGGTTCTTCACGTTCTGCAGATGTAGATGCCACTGGTTCTTCACGTTCTGTAGATGTAGATGCCACTGGTTCTTCACGTTCTGCAGATGTAGATGCCAATGGTTCTTCACGTTCTGCAGATGTAGATGCTACTGGTTCTTCATGTTCTGTAGATGTCGATGCCACTGGTTCTTCATGTTCTGCAGATGTAGATGCCACTGGTTCTTCACGTTCTGTAGATGTAGATGCCACTGGTTCTTCACGTTTTGCAGATGTAGATGCCACTGGTTCTTCACGTTCTGCAGATGTAGATGCCACTGGTTCTTCACGTTCTGCAGATGTAGACGCCACTGGTTCTTCACGTTTTGCAGATGTAGATGCCACTGGTTCTTCACGTTCTGCAGATGTAGATGCCACTGGTTCTTCACGTTCTGTAGGTGTAGATGCCACTGGTTCTTCACGTTCTGCAGATGTAGATGCCACTGGTTCTTCACGTTCTGCAGATGTAGATGCCACTGGTTCTTCACGTTCTGCAGATGTAGATGCCACTGATTCTTCATGTTCTGCAGATGTAGATGCCACTGGTTCTTCATGTTCTGCAGATGTAGATGCCACTGGTTCTTCATGTTCTGCAGATGTAGATGCCACCACCGCCATCTATTGAACTTACGGCTCTCGGTCCGAACAGGCAACTGGACGTACGGACAGGTTTGTTCGTATCTCTGAAGGTTCGTGAGTCGAATGTTTGTAAGTAGAAGAGTCCCTCTATATAAATGTTGAGTCGTTAAGTCAGGTTCGTGTCGCGTAGAACAAAGCGTGTACAATCATCTTGGTTCTTTCGGTAAAGTCACGTAGAAGGGAAATAATAAAATAATATAAGTAAAACATAAAATAATTCTCACGACGTTTCGGCCACAACGCAAGCAGCCGTCCTCAGGTGAAGACCAGGTCTGTCGGAAAGACAGCGTCTGAATGATCACTTGAGGACGGCTGCTTGCGTTGTGGCCGAAACGTCGTGAGAATTATTTTATTATGTTTTATTTTTATTATTTTATTACTTCCCTTCTACGTGACTTTACCGAAAGAACCAAGAAGATGAATCCCTGCTGCAGCCACGAAAGTTTTAAATCGAAACGTGCACAATCAGTTTCTGGTTCAGCACTAAACCGGTCGTAGAGTAACATGCACAACATGTGCAATTGTAAATGTACATGTATGTTGAACTACTTTCACACTGCACGTAGCCAACCACGCAAATCGGAGTTGTGTGGGGGAGGACAACAAACTAAACACAACATCAACAAGCAGCAGCAGTTCTAAAGAAACGAGTTTTTGTCGATCCAGATGACGATGATGAAGATGCAAAAGTGCAGCCACAGCTCCCAGTTATCTTTTTGGTTCTTTCGGTAAAGTCACGTAGAATGGAAATAATAAAAGAATACAAATGAAACATAATATTATTTTATTATGTTTTATTTTAAAACGTAATATTATCGTATCATGTTTTATTTTTCTTATTTTATTATTTCCATTCTACGTGACTTTACCGAAAGAATCAAGAAGATGAATCCCTGCGGTCACGAAAGCTTTAAATCGAAGCTCCCAGTTAGTGGCTTCTTGATATCGGACGGGAAGAGCGTTCCAGACGGCCGCAGAAGGAGCGCGATGACTGTGCGGTGACCACCGTCCGTGTTCGATGGTTAGCAGCCAGAAGCCACCGCTGCCACCGCTGCTGCTGATGATGGTTTACAGCTATCCTTGACAACATTAGCAAGGGTGTGTGTGTGTAATGAGTGCGACCCTGATAGTGTAAATCCTGCGGGTTTCTCTAATTGGCTGTGTCGGGTTGTTGGTGGTGTAATGACTCAACATTTACATCCTTGTGCCGATCTAACCGCAGGAAAAACAAACCCTCTGTTGTTGTACAATATTCGGCTTCGTCTTCTTGGTTCTTTCGGTAAAGTCACGTAGAAGGGAAGTAATAAAATAATAAAAATAAAACATAATAAAATAAAATAATTCTCACCTGAAGACGGCTGCTTGCGTTGTAGCCGAAACGTCGTGAGAATTATTTTATTTTATTATGTTTTAATTTTATTATTTTATTACTTCCCTTCTACGTGACTTTACCGAAAGAACCAAGAAGATGAATCCCTGCAGTCACGAAAGCTTTAAATCGAAATTCGGCTTCGTGTTCAAGTGGCCACTACTGCCGTTACTCGCGACGATGACGATGATGATGCTGCTGCTGTTGTGATGGCTATGCACGTGACCACCTCGATTGTCCAGCGCTTGCTGCTGCTGCTGCTGTTTGTTAGAGGAATCAGCAGCGTGGGGAGGGGGGGTGATCACGCACAGATGGTGCCAAAATACTGGAGAGTGTGGACTAATCTCCATCTGTTCCATCTCACTCCCTTCTACCCCGTGTATGGACTAATCTCCATCTGCTCCATCTGAAGAGTGTGGACTAATCTCCATCTGTTCCATCTCATTCCCTTCTACCCCGTGTATGGACTAATCTCCATCTGTTCCATCTCACTCCCTTCTACCCCGTGTGTGGACTAATCTCCATCTGTTCCATCTCACTCCCTTCTACCCCATGTGTGGACTAATCTCCATCTGTTCCATCTCACTCCCTTCTACCCCGTGTGTGGACTAACCTCCATCTGTTCCATCTCACTCCCTTCTACCCCGTGTGTGGACTAAAATCCATCTGTTCCATCTCACTCCCTTCTACCCCGTGTGAGGACTAATCTCCATCTGTTCCATCTCACTCCCTTCTACCCCGTGTGTGGACTAACCTCCATCTGCTCCATCTCACTCCCTTCTACACCCGTGTGTGGACTAATCTCCATCTGTTCCATCTCACTCCCTTCTACCCCGTGTGTGGACTAATCTCCATCTGCTCCATCTCACTCCCTTCTACCCCGTGTGTGGACTAATCTCCATCTGTTCCATCTCACTCCCTTCTACCCCGTGTGTGGACTAATCTCCATCTGTTCCATCTCACTCCCTTCTACCCCGTGTGTGGACTAATCTCCATCTGTTCCATCTCACTCCCTTCTACCCCGTGTGTGGACTAATCTCCATCTGTTCCATCTCACTCCCTTCTACCCCGTGTGTGGACTAATCTCCATCTGTTCCATCTCACTCCCTTCTACCCCGTGTGTGGACTAATCTCCATCTGTTCCATCTCACTCCCGTCTACCCCGTGTGTGGACTAATCTCCATCTGTTCCATCTGTACGGGGATAGTGTGTTTTCCCCTCGGGAGGTGGCGCCGAGTTACCAATTTGACGTAATTATCAACCCTGCAGAGCCACTTGTGGATATTCCACATTCCTATGGCGGCATGGGGTCAGGGGGCGAGCCAGACCATCGCCAAACCGCTGGTAACCTCTCCAGCGGTTTCAAGAATGGGTGAGTGGGGGGGTAGATGGGTGAGTGAACGGCTGAGTGAGTGAGTGAGTGAATGTGTGTGTGTGAATGAGTTGAGTTTGTACGATCTCCCCCTGTTTTACAGAGTGAGTGAGTGGAGTTTGTATGATCTCCCCCTGTTCTACAGAGTGAGTGAGTGGAGTCTGTGTGTTCTCCCCTTGTTCTACAGAGTGAATGAGTGGAGTTTGTATGATCACCCCCTGTTCTACAGAGTGAGTGGGGTTTGTATGATCTCCCCCTGTTCTACAGAGTGTGGGGTTTGTATGATCTCCCCCTGTTCTACAGAGTGAGTGAGTGGAGTTTGTATGATCCCTCCCTGTTCTACAGAGAGAGTGGAGTTTGTATGATCTCCCCCTGTTCTTCAGAGTGAGAGTGAGTGTAGTTTGTATGATCTCCCCCTGTTCTACAGAGTGAGTAAGTGTAGTGTGTATGATCTCCCCCTGTTCTACAGAGTGAGTGAGTGGAGTTTGTGTGATCTCGCTCTGTTCTGCGTGTGGCCTCCGGTCTCCTCCCATAGCTAAACCCACAACCAAAGTGGAACTGTGACTGTGCCCGCCGTGCCAAACTTGAGCTCACCGTGCCAAACCTGATCTCACCGTGCCAAACCTGATCTCACCGTGCCAAACCTGATCTCACCGTGCCAAACCTGATCTCACCGTGCCAAACCTGATCTCACCGTGCCAAACCTGATCTCACCGTGTCAAACCGGATCTTACCGTGACAAAACCTGGATAGGAGAGACTCCAAATGTACATACGCCACGGCCGTGATCGAACCCACGACCTCCTGTAGACCAGGCGAGGTAGTTAACATCTTTTGGGGCCAAGTATACAGCAGGCGTCCGTCAGTGTCCGGCATCGAACCCACGATCCTCCTGTAGACCAGGCGAGGTAGTTAACATCTCTTCGACGTCCGGGGACTTCATACACAGCGTCATGAGCCTCGGGCATTCAGTAGAGAGACAGAGAGAGACGTTAACATCTCCCAGGTACGGTGGCTAGGAGATGTTAACAACTTAGCTTGGTCTACAGGAGGTCGTGGGTTTTGATCCCGACCCTGAGTGGAGTTTGTATGATCTCCCCCTGTTCTACAGAGTGAGTGGAGTTTTTATGATCTTCCCCTGGTCTACAGTGAGAGTTTGTGTGATCTCCCCCTGTTCTAAAGAGTGAGTGGAGTTTGTATGATCTCCCCCTGTTCTACAGAGTGAGTGCAGTGTGTATGATCTCCCCCTGTTCTACAGAGTGAGTGGAGTTTGTATGATCTCCCCCTGTTCTACAGAGTGAGTGGAGTTTGTATGATCTCCCCCTGTTCTACAGAGTGAGTGGAGTTTGTATGATCTCCCTGTTCTACAGAGTGAGTGAGTGGAGGTTGTATGATCTCCCCCTGTTCTATAGACTGAGAGTGAGTGGAGTTTGTATGATCTCCCCCTGTTCTACAGAGTGAGTGAGTGGAGTTTATATGATCTCCCCCTGTTCTACAGAGTGAGTGAGTGGAGTTTGTGTGATCTCCCCCTGTTCTACATAGTGAGTGGAGTTTGTATGATCTCCCCCTGTTCTACAGAGTGAGTGAGTGGAGTTTGTATGATCTCCCCCTGTTCTACAGAGTGAGTGAGTGGAGTTTGTATGATCTCCCCCTGGTCTATAGACTGAGAGTGAGTGGAGTTTGTGTGATCTCCCCCTGGTCTAAAGAGTGAGTGAGTGGAGTTTGTATGATCTCCCTCTGTTCTACAGAGTGAGTGGAGTTTGTATGCCCGACATAACCGCCACCTCTGACAGAAAAAAACAAATTCGGGCAGCGCCCCCCACACCCCCGGAAACTTGAAGGGACGTTCCGTTCGGGACGCAGGTCCGTGCCAATCCGCACACGCACGCACGCGCGCACATGTGCGTCCATGAAACGACGATGTCGTATCATCGCCATTGTGTAGGGTTTTGCTTATCCGCGCCCCCCTGGGTCGAAGGCCGTCTGTGCTGTTCTACTCCCTCCACCGCAACCCTCCCGTCCCCGCCGACGCTGCCGGCTTTAGCGACAAAGCCACAGGGACTCCTGTGGGCCGACAAGCCAAATCCGGTTGTGGGATCGGGCGGTTATTGGTCAAGGCTGACAAAAACCGCCGCCGCCACCACCGCTGCCACCGCTGCCACCAATCGTCATCTTCGCTGCTACCTCCTCTTTTACCACCACCTCCTTCCGTCGTCATCGCGTTCGATAAAGACGCTACGCGTAGCGTGGCGGCACGTGTCCCCCCCACGGCGACCACAGGCCAAGAATGCGGGAGTGCCAAAATGGCGGCCACCCACTGCCAAAATTGGCGGCCGCCGCCGACTGTTGCCAAGATGGCGGCCGCCGCCGACTGTTGCCAAGATGGCGGCCGCCGCCAACTGTTGCCAAGATGGCGGCCGCTGCCGACTGTTGCCAAGATGGCGGCCGACTGGTGCCAAGATGGCGGCCGCCGCCGACTGTTGCAAAGATGGCGGCCGTCGCTGACTTGCCAAGATGGCGACCGCCGCCGACTGTTGCCAAGATGGCGGCCGCCGACTGTTGCCAAGATGGCGGCCGTCGCTGACTTGCCAAGATGGCGGCCGCCGCCGACTGCTGCCAAGATGGCGACCGCCGCCGACTGTTGCCAAGATGGCGGCCGCCGACTGTTGCCAAAATGGCGGCCACTGCCACAAGATGGCGGCCGCCAACTGCCAAAAATGGCGGCCGCGGACTGCTAAGATGGTGGCCGTCAACGACTGGCAAGATGGCGGCCGCCGACTGCCAAAAATGGCGACAGGAACGTGGCCGGGAATGTGATTTTATTCATTTAATATTTTTAAATTTATTTCAACTCCCCCCCCTCCCCCTCTCCCCGTCGGTCGTGAATTTTGCACCCAAGGTTGAGTCTCGCACCTTGGCCCAAATTGCTTGCATGTGTGCATGCGTGTGTGTGTACATATATATAAATAAAATATAATATAAGAACTCGAGTTAAGGCGCGGCGGTGGCCAGGCCTCTGGTTTGATCACAGGCCTGGCCGCGCCTGGTTCACGGGAAACAGCCGATAGGCTCCCACTAGTTTAGTTTTCGTTGAACGTTCGTTTTGTTAATTTATTTTATTTTTTTAACTTGCCGATCGATGATACTACCTTTGCACACATTTCACGATCTCTTTCTCTCTCTGTGTTGGACAGGAGGGGGGAGAGTTATTGTTGGAAGGACGTTCGGTTTGCGGATTGTTTGTCTTCCCGCGGGGCTGAGAAAATGCACCGTCGATTTGATTGGTCGGAGCAGTTGGGGGGGGGGGGGGTCGCTCCCTTCCTTTGTCTGTGTCTTTGTCTGTGTTTATCTCTGTGTGTGTCTCTATATGTGTGTGTTACTGTATATCTATGTATGTGTCACTGTGTCTATCTGTGCTAATGTGTGTGTCTGTGTGGGTAGTCTGTGTTTATTTCTGTGTCTATCTCTGTATCTGGGTGTGTATCTCTGTGTGTGTCCTTCTCCTGTGCGTCCCATGTGGCTGTCTGATCTGTTCTAATGTCTCCCCTGCTTCTGTGTCTCTGTCTCTAATGTCTGTGTATCCCTGTGTCTCTCTGTCCGCGTGCCTCGCTGACTGTGTCTCAGTGTCTATCTCCCCATGTCCATGAGTCTCAGTTGCTCCGTGTCTGTCTGTCTGTCCGCATGTCCATGTGTCTCGGCGTATTTCTGTGTCTCTGTCCCCGTGTCTCAGTGTCTGTGTGTCTCAATGTCTGTGTGTCTCAGTGTCTGTGTGTCGGTGTGTCTCAGTGTCTGTGTGTCTCCGTGTCTCAGTGTCTGTGTGTCTCAGTGTCTGTGTGTCTCCGTGTCTCAGTGTCTGTGTGTCTCAGTGTCGGTGTGTCTCAGTGTTTGTGTGTCTCAGTGTCTGTGTGTCTCAGTATCTCCGTGTCTCAGTATCTCCGTGTCTCAGTGTTTGTGTCTCAGCATCTCCGTGTCTCAGTGTCTGTGTGTCTCTGCGTGTCTCTGTCTCTGTGTGTCTCTGTGTGTCTCTGTGTGTCTGTCTCTGTGTGTCTGTCTCTGTGTGTCTCTGTGTGCCTCTGGACTGGAGGTGTCTCTGTGTGTCTCTATCTCTGTGTGTCTCTGGACTGGAGGTGTCTCTGTGTGTCTCCGTGTGTCTCTGTGTGTCTCTGTGTCTCTGGACTAGAGGTGTATGTGTGCCTCTGGCCTGGAGGTGTCTCTGTGTGTCTCTGTGTGTCTCTGTGTGTGTCTCTGTCTCTGTGTGTCTCTGTGTGTCTCTGTCTCTGTGTGTCTCTGTGTGTGTCTCTGTCTCTGTGTGTCTCTGTCTCTGTGTGTCTCTGTCTCTGTGTGTCTCTGTCTCTGTGTGTATCTGGACTGGAAGTGTTTCTGTGTGTCTCTGTCTCTGTGTGTCTCTGTGTGTCTCTGTGTGTCTCTGTGTATGTGTGTCTCTGTCTCTGTGTGCCTTTGTGTGTCTCTGTGTGCCTCTGGCCTGGAGGTGTCTCTGTGTGTCTCTGTCTCTGTGTGTCTTTGTGTGTTTCTGTGTCTGTGTGTCTCTGTGTGTCTTTGTGTGTCTCTGTCTCTGTGTGCCTCTGTGTGTCTCTGTGTGCCTCTGGCCTGGAGGTGTCTCTGTGTGTCTCTGTGTGTCTCTGTCTCTGTGTGTCTTTGTGTGTCTCTGTGTCTGTGTGTCTCTGTCTCTGTGTGTCTCTGTGTGCCTCTGTGTGCCTCTGGCCTGGAGGTGTCTCTGTGTGTCTCTGTGTGTCTCTGTGTGTCTCTGTCTCTGTGTGTCTTTGTCTCTGTGTGTCTTTGTGTGTCTCTGGACTGGAGGTGTCTCTGTGTGTCTCTGTGTGTCTCTGTCTCTGTGTGTCTCTGTGTGCCTCTGGCCTGGAGGTGTCTCTGTGTGCCTCTGGCCTGGAGGTGTCTCTGTGTGTCTCTGTGTGTCTCTGTGTGTCTCTGTCTCTGTGTGTCTTTGTCTCTGTGTGTCTCTGTGTGTCTCTGGACTGGAGGTGTCTCTGTGTGTCTCTGTGTGTCTCTGTCTCTGTGTGTCTCTGTGTACCTCTGGCCTGGAGGTGTCCCTGTGTGTCTCTGTGTGTCTCTGTCTCTGTGTGTCTTTGTCTCTGTGTGTCTCTGTGTGTCTCTGGACTGGAGGTGTCTCTGTGTGTCTCTGTGTGTCTCTGTCTCTGTGTGTCTCTGTGTGCCTCTGGCCTGGAGGTGTCTCTGTGTGCCTCTGTGTGTCTCTGTCTCTGTGTGTCTCTGTGTGCCTCTGGCCTGGAGGTGTCTCTGTGTGTCTCTGTGTCTGTGTGTCTTTGTCTCTGTGTGTCTCTGTGTGTCTCTGGACTGGAGGTGTCTCTGTGTGCCTCTGTGTGTCTCTGTGTGTCTCTGGACTGGAGGTGTTTCTGTGTGTCTCTGTGTGCCTCTGTGTGTGTCTCTGTGTGTCTCTGTCTCTGTGTGTCTTTGTCTCTGTGTGTCTCTGGACTGGAGGTGTCTCTGTGTGTCTCTGTGTGTCTCTGGCCTGGAGGTGTCTCTGTGTGTCTGTGTGTCTTTGTCTCTGTGTGTCTCTGTGTGTCTCTGTCTCTGTGTGTCTTTGTCTCTGTGTGCCTCTGGCCTGGAGGTGTCTCTGTGTGCCTCTGGCCTGGAGGTGTCTCTGTCCGTGCTGTGTAGCGCTGCGTCTCCCTCTCTCTCTTCTGTTGGTATTTTATCGACGCATGCCCATGCATGTCACTCTACTATTAAATACAAAGTCTCGGTAATTAACGATAATTAATGACGATGATGATTGATGATAATAAAAAAACACTTTTGCCGTAACGACTTGGGGAGGAGGAGGTTCTACCCAAGGACACGCGCGCGACGTTCACTCATTTTGGGTTTTTAAACAAAACGATGACCGCGTCTCGAGATGATGGAACAACAACAATAACAAAAACCACAACAATCACAACAACCACAACAACATAAACCACAACAACATAAACCACAACAACAACCACAACAACATAAACCACAACAATCTAAACCACAACAATCACAACAACATAAACCACAACAATCACAACAACAACCACAACAATCACAACAACATAAACCACAACAATCACAACAACAACCACAACAACAAACCACAACAATCACAACAACAACCACAACAACAAACCACAACAATCACAACAACATAAACCACAACAATCACAACAACATAAACCACAACAATCACAACAACATAAACCACAACAATCGCAACAACAACCACAACAACAAACCACAACAATCACAACAACAACCACAACAACAAACCACAACAATCACAACAACATAAACCACAACAATCACAACAACAACCACAACAACAAACCACAACAATCACAACAACCACAACAACATAAACCACAATAATCACAACAACATAAATCACAACAACATAAACCACAACAGTCACAACAACCACAACAACCAGAACAACAGCTACTACCACCACAACAACCACCACCACAACAGCCACAACCACCACAAACAGCCATAACCACCATGACAACCACCACAACAACTACCACAACAACTACCACCACAACAATCACAACAACAACCACAATAACCAGAACTACAACAATTACAACCACCACAACAACAGTGTCCACCGCGGTTTAATTTTTGCGTTTAGAATGTTCTATTTTAAAAACCTGCAACATTTGAAACCACAACAACTTAACAACAACAACTTAACAACAACAACAACTTAACAACAACAACTTAACAACAACAACTTAGCAACAACAACTTAACAACAACTTAACAACAACTTGACATTAACATCTTCGTCTATTCCCGATCCTTTTTCTGCTTCCAGAAATTAAGTTACTCGGTTTGCAGGAGTGGTGTGGGGTGGGTGGGTGGGTGGAGTGATGGAGTGGTGTAGGGTGGGTGGGTGGGTGGAGTGATGGAGTGGTGTAGGGTGGGTGGGTGGGGTGGGTGGGTGGAGTGGGGTGAGAGTGCTTGAATGAGTGGTTGAATGAGTCAGTGAGTGAATGGAGTGTGTGTGTTCTCCCCCTGTTCTACAGAGTGAAAGTGAGTGAATGAGTGAGTGGAGTGCGTGTGTGTTCTCCCCCTGTTCTACAGAGTGAAAGTGAGTGAATGAGTGAGAGTGAGTGAATGAGTGAGTGAATGAGTGAGAGTGAGTGAATGGTGTGTGTGTGTTCTCTCCCTGTTCTACAGAGTGAAAGTGAGTGAATGAGTGAGTGGAGTGAGTGTGTGTTCTCCCCCTGTTCTACAGAGTGAAAGTGAGTGAATGAGTGAGTGGAGTGAGTGTGTGTTCTCCCCCTGTTCTACAGAGTGAAAGTGAGTGAATGAGTGAGTGAGAGTGACTGAATGAGTGAGTGAGTGGAGTGTGTGTTCTGCCCCTGTTATACAGAGTGAAAGTGAGTGAATGAGTGAGAGTGAGTGAATGGAGTGTGTGCGTTCTCTCCCCCTAATCTGCTGTGAGTGAGAGTGACTGAATGAGTGAGTGGAGTGTGTGTGTTCTCCCCCTGTTCTACAGAGTGAAAGTGAGTGAATGAGTGGAGTGTGTTCTCCCCCTGTTCTACAGATTGAAAGTGAGTGAATGAGTGGAGTGTGTGTGTGTGTGTTCTCCCCCTGTTCTACAGAGTGAAAGTGAGTGAATGAGTGAGAGTGAATGAGTGGAGTGTGTGTGTGTGTTCTCCCCCTGTTCTACAGAGTGAAAGTGAGTGAATGAGTGAGAGTGAGTGAATGGTGTGTGTGTGTTCTCTCCCTGTTCTACAGAGTGAAAGTGAGTGAATGAGTGAGAGTGACTGAATGAGTGAGTGGAGTGTGTGTGTGTGTTCTCCCCCTGTTCTACAGAGTGAAAGTGAGTGAATGAGTTAGAGTGAGTGAATGGAGTGTGTGGAGTGTGTGTGTGTTCTCCCCCTGTTCTACAGAGTGAAAGTGAGTGAATGAGTTAGAGTGAGTGAATGGAGTGTGTGGAGTGTGTGTGTGTTCTCCCCCTGTTCTACAGTGAAAGTGAGTGAATGAGTGAGAGTGAGTGAATGAGTGAGTGGAGTGTGTGTGTGTTCTACCCCTGTTCTACAGAGTGAGAGTGACTGAATGAGTGAGAGTGAGTGAGTGGAGTGTGTGTGTGTGTTCTCCCCCTGTTCTACAGAGTGAAAGTGAGTGAATGAGTGAGTGTGTGTGTGTGTTCTCCCCCTGTTCTACAGAGTGAAAGTGAGTGAATGAGTGAGAGTGAGTGAATGGAGTGTGTGTGTGTTCTCCCCCTGTTTTACAGAGTGAAAGTGAGTGAATGAGTGAGAGTGAGTGAATGAGTGAGTGAATGAGTGAGTGGAGTGTGTGTGTGTTCTACCCCTGTTCTACAGAGTGAAAGTGAGTGAATGAGTGAGTGGAGTGTGTGTGTGTTCTACCCCTGTTCTACAGAGTGAGAGTGACTGAATGAGTGAGAGTGAGTGAATGGAGTGTGTGTGTGTGTGTGTTCTCCCCCTGTTCTACAGAGTGAAAGTGAGTGAATGAGTGAGTGTGTGTGTGTGTGTTCTCCCCCTGTTCTACAGAGTGAAAGTGAGTGAATGAGTGAGAGTGAGTGAATGGAGTGTGTGTGTGTTCTCCCCCTGTTCTACAGAGTGAAAGTGAGTGAATGAGTGTGAGTGTGTGAATGAGTGAGTGAATGAGTGAGTGGAGTGTGTGTGTGTTCTACCCCTGTTCTACAGAGTGAAAGTGAGTGAATGAGTTAGTGGAGTGTGTGTGTGTTCTCCCCCTGTTCTACAGAGTGAAAGTGAGTGAATGAGTGAGAGTGAGTGAATGGAGTGTGTGTGTTCTCCCCCTGTTCTACAGAGTGAAAGTGAGTGAATGAGTGAGAGTGAGTGAATGAGTGAGTGAATGAGTGAGTGGAGTGTGTGTGTGTTCTCCCCCTGTTCTACAGAGTGAAAGTGAGTGAATGAGTGAGAGTGAGTGAATGAGTGAGTGAATGAGTGAGAGTGAGTGAATGGTGTGTGTGTGTTCTCTCCCTGTTCTACAGAGTGAAAGTGAGTGAATGAGTGAGTGGAGTGAGTGTGTGTTCTCCCCCTGTTCTACAGAGTGAAAGTGAGTGAATGAGTGAGTGGAGTGAGTGTGTGTTCTCCCCCTGTTCTACAGAGTGAAAGTGAGTGAATGAGTGAGTGAGAGTGACTGAATGAGTGAGTGAGTGGAGTGTGTGTTCTGCCCCTGTTCTACAGAGTGAAAGTGAGTGAATGAGTGAGAGTGAGTGAATGGAGTGTGTGCGTTCTCTCCCCCTAATCTGCTGTGAGTGAGAGTGACTGAATGAGTGAGTGGAGTGTGCGTGTTCTCCCCCTGTTCTACAGAGTGAAAGTGAGTGAATGAGTGGAGTGTGTTCTCCCCCTGTTCTACAGATTGAAAGTGAGTGAATGAGTGGAGTGTGTGTGTGTGTTCTCCCCCTGTTCTACAGAGTGAAAGTGAGTGAATGAGTGAGAGTGAATGAGTGGAGTGTGTGTGTGTGTTCTCCCCCTGTTCTACAGAGTGAAAGTGAGTGAATGAGTGAGAGTGAGTGAATGGTGTGTGTGTGTTCTCTCCCTGTTCTACAGAGTGAAAGTGAGTGAATGAGTGAGAGTGACTGAATGAGTGAGTGGAGTGTGTGTGTGTGTTCTCCCCCTGTTCTACAGAGTGAAAGTGAGTGAATGAGTTAGAGTGAGTGAATGGAGTGTGTGGAGTGTGTGTGTGTTCTCCCCCTGTTCTACAGAGTGAAAGTGAGTGAATGAGTTAGAGTGAGTGAATGGAGTGTGTGGAGTGTGTGTGTGTTCTCCCCCTGTTCTACAGTGAAAGTGAGTGAATGAGTGAGAGTGAGTGAATGAGTGAGTGGAGTGTGTGTGTGTTCTACCCCTGTTCTACAGAGTGAGAGTGACTGAATGAGTGAGAGTGAGTGAGTGGAGTGTGTGTGTGTGTTCTCCCCCTGTTCTACAGAGTGAAAGTGAGTGAATGAGTGAGAGTGAATGAGTGGAGTGTGTGTGTGTGTTCTCCCCCTGTTCTACAGAGTGAAAGTGAGTGAATGAGTGAGAGTGAGTGAATGGTGTGTGTGTGTTCTCTCCCTGTTCTACAGAGTGAAAGTGAGTGAATGAGTGAGAGTGACTGAATGAGTGAGTGGAGTGTGTGTGTGTGTTCTCCCCCTGTTCTACAGAGTGAAAGTGAGTGAATGAGTTAGAGTGAGTGAATGGAGTGTGTGGAGTGTGTGTGTGTTCTCCCCCTGTTCTACAGAGTGAAAGTGAGTGAATGAGTTAGAGTGAGTGAATGGAGTGTGTGGAGTGTGTGTGTGTTCTCCCCCTGTTCTACAGTGAAAGTGAGTGAATGAGTGAGAGTGAGTGAATGAGTGAGTGGAGTGTGTGTGTGTTCTACCCCTGTTCTACAGAGTGAGAGTGACTGAATGAGTGAGAGTGAGTGAGTGGAGTGTGTGTGTGTGTTCTCCCCCTGTTCTACAGAGTGAAAGTGAGTGAATGAGTGAGTGTGTGTGTGTGTTCTCCCCCTGTTCTACAGAGTGAAAGTGAGTGAATGAGTGAGAGTGAGTGAATGGAGTGTGTGTGTGTTCTCCCCCTGTTCTACAGAGTGAAAGTGAGTGAATGAGTGAGAGTGAGTGAATGAGTGAGTGAATGAGTGAGTGGAGTGTGTGTGTGTTCTACCCCTGTTCTACAGAGTGAAAGTGAGTGAATGAGTGAGTGGAGTGTGTGTGTGTTCTACCCCTGTTCTACAGAGTGAGAGTGAGTGAATGAGTGAGAGTGAGTGAATGGAGTGTGTGTGTGTGTTCTCCCCCTGTTCTACAGAGTGAA